GATAGGACTGAATAGGTTTTTAATTTTACTGACAAAAGAATGATGCATCAAAACACCCAATTTTTTAGACCAGCTGTGAATAATACTTCATTAAACCCAAAAGAATTTTTATGGTAAAGAAGTAATATTATAGTATTCTCAGTAAGTGGAATAATTGACCATCATTATGGAAATTATGTAGGCTGAAGTATTTAAAATGTTTAAGAATGTAATTGTTGGTTTTTAACCAAAGCCAAAGATATTTGAAAACAAAGTATGATATGTCAGTCAGAGTCTCGGTGCTCAACTATCAGTGTATTATTTGTAAAAAGTGTTGGTAGTCACAATGGTGGCAATAACATTTGTGTGGTTAATCTGGTTGAAGCAGAGAATTTAATTGATCTCCTGATAAAAGGCATGTTTTCTTGGGGTTGTAGCAAAGGTCTTTCATGAATTCTAAGACAGCCCAGTTGCCAATTGTATTGAACCAAAGCTATTAGACAGGGTACAATTACAGCTTTTTTTCAAGATATTATTACAGTATATACTATAAGATGCAACTGACAAATGAAGTATTTCAGAAAAATATTTACCCTAAAATTATTAGTGACTTGTGCCGTGACTAATATTATGTTACAGCTTTGGTTCAAATTTCATAAATCATGAACCGATGTACAGTAACTGCAAACGTAAACAAATAGGTGAATGCACACCCAATATACAGACTGTTATTTGCCTTTAAGACTCCTAGGTTACATATCACTGATATAAGATTCGTAGTAAATTTGTTGTTTCAAGATCACTGTATATTATTTCTCATGATTCAGGATTGGTACCCCCCCCCCCTTCCAGACAAACAGAAATATAGATGATACATCCCAAAAAATAAATATGAAATTAACTCACACACACAAAGGTTTCAAGATACTGTGTATAATTTCATTCGCAACTGTATTTTAAACTACATACATACGGAAACCAACCTGTCACTCGACCAGTTAATTGTTTCAAAATATTCTGCTTTGATAACTACATGTTTAATACACATGAATAATTTCGTTTCCATAGATGTCCCCTCTGATTTATCCTTCCATAAAAGTACAATAAAATCCCAAGTGATATTCTTTGTTCAATACATAAAAATTACTTATAATCAACAATGTTTATTTAATTCTTTATAAAACGTCGCATACAAGCAGCTGCATTGGATACAAAGCAGACAGTTTAAAGACAGATCACTAAAGTCGACTCGACTAGTTTTCGCTCAGTTTGATCTTCGTCCTTTTATCTTTGATAAGTATTACCGTTAGCTATTCCACAATTTGTTGAAAGAAAGCTCATAGAATGCATAGATAAAATATACGCACTCTTAAATCTCATTAGGAAAGTTTTATTTATCATAATAATATAAAAACTCGAAAACGTCGCGCCTTCGTGCTGCCATGCTTGATAAAATCAATCGGCTCCGCTCCCCCCGGGTTGAAAACTAAATTATTACGAAATGTCCAGTATTTTTGGAGTCACATGACCAGTGTTTACCAGGGCCTTTGCTTCCCGTACCAGAGCCTCTGAGCCGCGCAAAGGCCCTGGGTACGAGGTTGATATCCAGCATGATATCCGCGTTTCTGATTTCGGGTTATTCTAACTTAACGCATTGGTAGTAATTAAAACACGAGTATAGGAGTGTTTTATCAGATGAAGTTTTATGTCTGATGAAACACGAAAACGAGTGTTTTGAATAGCTTAAAATACGACTACAAAAGAATTGCTAATTACGATGAACAATTAATGTATAATGCCACATGCTTTATCAGATATAAAGTCACTCCACGTGACATATTATGGCTGACATGATTTGCCGGAAGGTTTATGAACTATTAATGAGTATTTTAAGGCATATTAAAGCTAGATTACAGTCGCTTCTGCGCATGTGTCAAAAATGTAAACAAATGTGAGCACACTTGTTTTGATTTTGTGTGCTCTCCAGTCCTTATTCGGATATGCGCGCTCAAAATGGCCGACTCGTAAGAGTTATATAATAGAGCCGTCCACTTCAAAGGCAAATTCTTCTAATGCTGGTCGCCAAAACCAACCAGGAAATCGAAAAGAACATTTCGCGAAAAGGTATGCAACGAAAATGTACATTAATGATACTATTGGTCGGTGAAATCATTTCAAAACTGAAGCTGGAATTAAAAGTGACGAGGGTTCGCGAATACTATGCTGATCGAGCCTGTATACGAAACATCAAGACGGATTTAATTGTGGTAAGCACATAACACATATCCCTGGATATTTCAGTTATGTTAATGTTGTTATATTTCCTCATTACAAAATTTTATTGTTCACTTATAGCGCTGTGGAAACCCAGACGGATCAGTAGCCAGATGAAACAATACAATGCAGACATGAGCCATTGCCAGTATATGTTCAGCAAGGGGAAGAAACAGCAATGGAGCCATATAAAGATTCTTAAAGATTCTCCTAGGCAGTACGAATATATCCTACAACTTATAATGAAGGTATGTATAACATTTTATGCTTTCCTGAATCCTAGTGAGAAAAAAGGTGACTTTTAGTTTTCACTTTTCATTATGAAATTCCATATTCTTCATATCACATTTTCAAACAAATATTTTGATCGTTCTGTAGGCATGTTGATTGACGTGTTTTAAGAGCACTTAAGGCTTTTTGGAAAGCCAAATTTTGATTTGCATGAACATTATTAACAAAATCAAAATGTGTAAAACACATTGGTCAGCAGCATTTAAACAGGAATAAAACTAATTATAAGTCTTCTTCAGATATGTGGAATGGTGTTGCAAGTGATTACCGAAGGCAAATCGCTCCTAACATAACCCCTGTCCCTCCTCCTTCAGTCAAAGAACTTGTTATAACCCATCAGTATAAATTCAACTGATCACTGTAGACAAGTGTCTGCCAGTTAAAACAAAGTGCTCTGTTAGGTGGAGCTCATAATCCCTGAAAGGCAATCCACCTAGGAGAAGGAAATCTGATTACAAACCCCTGGACCCCAATACTGAGCCAGGGTGTCCATATTGGATTCATTGATCTTCGGTGCACAGCAAGACACTTTTCAGGACTGAAGTAAGGAGCAAGGAGTAATTTTAAAGAATAAAAAAATCAATGTCAATATACAAAATGTTGTGCTTGAACATCCAATGTATTTGATAACTGGTCTTTTATATAATGAAATATTACTGTTCATAAACATTTAACCATTAACATGATAAAGGCTTTCATTTGTTAGCAAAATTTGCTGTGGTTAGTAGACAGAGAAAGCTTATAATAAGTTTGAAGCAATTTTGAACTGCAATTTTCTTCTTTTGGTGTATGTGTTAGAGTAAATAATAAAGCCATGCAAAGTAATGTTTCCTGTAATTTTGCTAAAACACAAATGCCAAAAGGAGAAAATCAAAGTTTAAAATCGCTTGTGTGAACGGTCCTTAA